GGTAATTTTAATATTTATTTAACCTTTTATAGGGCAAAACTCCTTGGATATGACAAATGAGTTTTTTCTTTTGAACTTCATTAAAATAGTCCTTAGAAATATTTTAATATCATTTTTGAGACTGAAACAAAATTTTTGATAAGAGATATCAACGGTATAACTGTTGTACCAGTGACCATTCAGGGAAAGCGTTTAGAACCACTCCTGATTCTTTCCACTGCTGGTACGACTTATGTACCAGTACCCTATAAAGAGTTAGTACTGCATCTCTGTAGAGAGATTATATTTCTTGTTTCGATGTCATATTTTTGAAAGGGATACAATTTATGAAAAGGACATTTCTTCCAGCGCTTATAAAAATAAATATTCAGAGTATTGAAAACTTTCTCTCTTTCTAATATCAATATAAGATTCGTCAGAACTAGACACACGAATCATGCAGTACAAAAGGTATCTTTAATTTTTTTGTTCATCTTGCTATTAGACAACTGTGATTAACGTACCTACCTAATTAATAAGTTAAACTAATTTTTTGTGATTTTATATTAACTTGATTATTTTTATGGATTGTTTTTGCTTTGTTAATTATTAGAGAGTTTTTTATTCATCATAACATTAGCCAACTTAATAATTATTATAATTAATAAACGAAACTGAATCTGATATTTTGTAATATTTTTAAATCTGATATTTTGTAATATTTTTAAATTCTCATTAATGTTACTTATAATGTTTTATGTTAGATTATTTTTTTATTAACTATTTGAGAATATCTTTTATTTTAATATACTGTTTCTTCTATAAAAATTAATGACGTTTTCAATACGAACAATTTATAAAAGGGACAAAATATTAAAAAAAAATAAAAGATAATTAACTGTCGATTATTGTTATCTGATAATTGACGTTTCTAAACCAATTAATCTATTTCTAAAATGATTAATCTGTTTCTAAAATGACTAAAAGATCAATATAGTTCTTTAGTTTATTTTATCCTGAACAAAAATGTTTCCTTTAAGCCACTTCTCCCCCCTACATGATATAAAAGTTCATCGAACCAATAATGCTTAACAAAAATTTCAAAAAACTTTTTGTTTTTCTGAAACATTTAATTGTAAATTTGTATTGTGCAAACGTACGTGGAACTTTTATAATTTAATAAACTTCTGAGATAGTTATGTATATAAGAGAAAAGTTTAAAGCTCCTGGCCCCTCGCATTGTCTATCTCTTTTTAATGACATTAGAAGTGAGAAAATGCTAAAAATTCTTGCAAAATACATTAAAATAAAAATATATATCTTGCAATCGATTAAACAAATGTGTAAGATATTCTGTGCTCTCTTTCTCTAACAATCAATAATTTGTTGTAAATTAACGTGACATATAATTTATCTTCTTAACCTATTTCTTTGTCTATTTCTATTCAGGTTAATTTACAATAAATTATTGATTGTTAGAGCAAAAAGAGTTCTGATACGTTAAAGAATTTCTGCGGTCAGTTTGGATTAAGTGTCAAAAAATCTGTGAGAATCAATAATTTCTATTTTAATGAGTTAAACATTGCGCTCTGGATTTTCCATTTAGTATTTGCTATATAGGATCGACCATCTTGGATTCTATGCATTTTTTCAGTATTATCCTCATTTATACTGAAGATTCTCAATTCAACTATTTTATATTCTCTCTAGTTATAATATTTTAATATCAACTGTTTTATGAAGGACTATGAATCCAAATCTTTTATATTGGTTCCGCCATTTTGAAACTCTAATATATGTTATTTTATTCATAAAATCGTAATAAATGATCTTGGAAAATCGTTATTACCTTCATTTCTGTAAATGCTCGGTTGAAAAATGAAGCAGCTGCGATCTACTGCGCGATCCTTAATTTATGTGATTTTCTCTAAACATATGTTGATTTTTAGATGTTCCTTGGATCTCCGGGAAAAACACTATATGGTTTTTACATAATTCAAGGTATATATGATCTAATGCAACTCGAATTTTACTTACGACTTGAGATAAAAAATTCGTACTTTACCGACATCCTCCTTTGGTGTTAATATTGTTTCTTCAATTATACTTTTTTGATTCGCGACGGCGTTGCGACTCGCGATCTCGCAATCTCGCTTTGTAGCATTAAGATAACCGACGAAAGAGCATGCACACACATACACATATTCCTATCACCCAGCCAGTCGTTGGCTGGTAGTTGTTGCGATCCCATGTCATATCGAAGAAGTGCCGAGCGACGCGCGGCACAATGATGAGAATTAACTATTTACAGTGAATAATATTAGATCTGACGGGCGTTGCGCCTCGACACGCGGCGAACGCAACGAGGCAGACAACATAGTCACGCTGGAACGTTGAAAACATTAATTCGTTACATTCGCAGCGCGCGTAGCCCGACGTCGTATATCTCGCAAATTGACAAAATCTTGATATACCTTGACGGGATTCGCGGGCGTATCTCGGAGATACTTGAAATAAAAAAAAAAAAGAAAAATACGCGAGTAAGAGCATTTTTATGTCACAGCGTGTCGTTTCGGGAATGATGTCCCGCATAAATGTGTCTTGTATAAACAAAGAAAGACGCTCCGCGCGCGATATTAAATCATATTATTCAGTAATCATCTCTCGATATATGACTTCGGAGTCGAAACGGGAGTCACCCCGCTTCGGATGCTTCGATTCTGTGCGCATGCATAGAGAAAATATCGTAGAAAACACCGTAATGGTCGTGTTCAGATCATATATTTCATTTTATAACATTTCCTGCAAAGTTGGACTATACGCTGACATTGTTGTATAAATTGTAGTATTACTGCAATTAATAGTATAAAATGCACTTTTATTATGGAAATAGTAAATTTTTTATAATCTACCAAGTGTATACAATATAAAAAATCTTCAAGGAATCAGAATAATTTTGTAGAAAAAGTCAAACGTGCATAATACTTTTATATAATTATATAGCAATTTTGGTCATAAAATTTCTGGTATGGTCTACTCTCTAAATTTCTTGAAGTGAAAATCTCACTCGAAAAATAAAGTGAGTCACTTGAATTGGCTTCTTACTCTTGAGAATTTCTTCACTTTATATTATGGAGTGAATTTTCTCTCAACAAATGGAGTGACGACCGTTACTCAAGCTAAAGTGACTTTTCACTCGTGAAAAAGTGAATGATTCTTAGCAGTGGTTCAATAGATTAGGCGAGTGACTCAAGAGCTATAGAAACCTTAGGTTCAAGTTCTACTAGTCAGCGAATTTTACTAAATTATTATACATTATATTTAGTTAATTAATTAAATGACATACTATTAAAAAGATTGTAATAATTAGAGTTATTAGCAACCACAAACACAATAGAAGTAGAGATTTTTTTTTACCTATAATCGTAAAAATTCATTCTACTTGGAGTGAGATTTTCACTCTAGTTGGAGTGAAATATTCACTCTTATTAAAAGTGAAGTGTCTCATTCCATTCAGAGTGGCAGTATTTTCACTATTGCTTGGAGTGAATATCCACTCGTTTAAAGTGAAACTTTACTCCAAGAAATTTAGAGAGCAAAATTTTGTTGTAACTTTTGCCGCGTAATATTTTCTCCATGTATCTCACATTTTATCGATTTTTTTCCGCTTATCTGCGGATCTTTCATACGACGGAGTCGTGTTAGATGTGACTCCGCCGCGTTAATTGACTGCCACAGTAATCCTTCATTCGAGCGAGCGAGAAAGAGAGAGAGAGAGGGGAATATTTTATTCCGTCAAGCTTGAATATATTCGGACGTTAGAAACCTCGCGACAGTCAGTCGATAGCTGACCGTTGGAGTGTCGCGAATCGATTAACGCGAGCGTAAGAGCCGGGTATCGCCTCGCCCTCCTCCGTTTCTCCGTCTCTCTTTCTCTCTCTCCTCCGTATCGCTCCAGAAAGTCTCCCTCTCGACCGCGCTATCACGATCGGCACATCTCGAGTGCCCATCGCTCGCGCGGCCTACACACGAGGTTTCGATTTTCGAGAGGCATATCGAGAAACACCGGCGAATCCCTCGAGGTGACCTCGGGGGAGAAATAACTACGTGGCGGGGGACGAGAGATCGACCTTGGGCAAGGTGATCGGAGATCGATGCGCCTTCTCGATGATAGCACGCGTGGGACAGAGATTAATGGAAATTCGCGAGCTACCTTGTTCTCCTCCCCCGCCCTGGATATCGTTCGTCGACGAGCGTTCCTCGTTTGGCTCGCTCGGGGAGTGATTTTCGAGCCGGAGGCGGTGGCGACGGTGGCGGTTGCGGCGGCGATATCGAGCCACACGCGGCACAATATAACGCGATATTAAGAGGGAGACTACTGGATCCTGATAGTCGATTCTTTAATAATCTCGAATAATGCACCGCTCGCGCTCGTCGTCGTGGCAAACAAAGTACTGCGAGAATTAATATGGTCCACTACCAAAATAGCTTCCGCGATATTAAAAGCCCGAAGCGTTTTGCATTGCGATTTTGGCAACGGCGACTTTTATATTTTATGCTTCTGAAAAGTATTGTGTTCCAATGGTGGAAAAGACGGTGGCGTCCTTCGCATATTAACGGAATTTACGCGTTTTTGTCACACGCACGACATATGTTTTTGTACTTTTTATATTACGAATTGAAATTTTGGTTGAAAATTCTGCTGAACTTAAAAAACAACTTAGTAGACTTTTTATTTATATGATTATTACGATGTGGGATAATCGATGGTGGAAACTAAGAAGACTAACAATTACGTCTTATTTACGGAGGAGAGGGGGCGTCTATTAGCTTGCATGACGATCTGTGATGTCAAGGAGGGGAGAGAGTTATAAAAAGATTATGGAACATCACATGTATTCTAAACTTTTGTATAAAAAAATATTATATTCTATAAAATAATTTAATTTTGGGTCAATAATAAACATTATAATTTTGAAGTATTTATTTTTTAAAAACATACTTAACTTTTATTAATTAAAATTATAAAATAAATAATTTGATATGTCTAAAAATTATTTGTATTTTAGTAAAAGACGATTTAGTAATAACAATTATTACTCACAATATTAAACTATTTGTTTTTATTTTATGTGAGTGCAAGAATAATATTATATGCCATGTAATATTGGAGCGAAGCCGAAACTTTGTGGTGAAAATTGTGACAAAAGGCAGAGATAAAAATATTCAAATTTCACGCGACGTAATTGTTAAATGGCCCGTATAATTCTTTTAATTACATTTATGAGAGATAAATGTATCGAATTAATTATGAAACTTACATCTTAAATTTATAAAAATTTTTGTTGCGTTGATGCAACAACCAATTTGTTAAAAGTTACATCCAGAGTTCTATATTATATTTTGCATGATATTGTATGCAGCAAATTTCGATTATTCTTTCTTATATTTCTATTTTGTAATTTTATGTAGTAAACATGAGCGTTCTATGAACCATTCGTAAGTGACGCAACCTTTACAAGTTGACTAATAAAATTGCTGGCAAATACTCGTACACCTGTCTATCTCGGTACTATCTGGGCAGGCCATTGTCCTACTTCAATGCTAAAATTATATAACATTATTTTCTCTCTACGCTCTGCACTGTTGATATTCTAATTGTATTTCATTTTCCTAATGTCCACGAGCAATACATTACTTGTGTTGTTTATTTAACAACAGATAGAATATATGCGAGATAAGTAAATATTAGCTAACTATAATAACCAATGCGATAACAATAATTATTTAATAAACATTAAAGTATGATTAATGTATAAGTAGAACAACAAATTTCTTTTCCTCATAATCCCTTGATTACTTTTATTTATTAGCGTTAGAAATATGTATATGTGTAAAAAAAAAATATATATATATATATATCTACACCTGGAAATATTTAATGCATCGTTGTCCGTGACTCATCGTCCCGCGTCTCCCGTAGTGACTTCCTCATTCTTGGACCTGCACCTGTTTGCTCCGTCATGGCATTCCGGATACTAGTTCGTGACTAGTATCCGTTCACTAAGAGTCGTATAGCTACAATTCGGTCGAAAAAAAAAGAACAGATATTAATTAAAGCGATTTCGCCGAGAGCCCGATTGAGCATTTCAAGAAGTGGCGAAAAATCTTGTGGAAGTATCTCTCTCTGCCACGGGGAAAAGTATGCAGACATGTGAGACCAAAACAATTGAAACATGTACCAAAACGATTGAGAAGGAGAGTAAACTTACTCCATCAGTCGCTAACTGTCAGTGCTTCACTGAACGCTGCGAACGATCACAGCAATCAAAACATCACGGACCTTCAAGGCGGTAAAACTTGCCTTTGTGCTTCCACGGGCCTTTCCGAGTGTTACATTACGTCTCGAGCCCCGACGAACGACACGCATACCACGGACTACGTGTAGCGGACTACGTTATTTGTAATTCCCTTCGGGTGATTAAAATATTTTGTTGGCCCTTGATGTACTTAATCAGGCTCTCGTCGGCCTCGCGTGATTTAACACGTATATCTTTAATCGAATCGTGTCTGCGCGAGTGTCAGTGTCAGTGCCATGACGGAGCAGTTAGGATGCTGGATCGAGAAGTCAGGATGGAGAGCAGAGAACGCGGGGACACGGACAGTGATACAAGTTTTAGAGAAGTTTTTAGTGTTTGACGAACTTAGTGAAAATGAAATATCCCTGAGTTAAAATTTAGGTCGGCATTCATAGTCCGTCGTTATTTGACAAATAAGTGTAGCTTTATTAATCTTTTATTATTCGTTAACCTGTACTTATTATATTATTTCGAACAACAAACATTGATTCCAACAGAATAACAGAGAATACAAATTCCTATAATTATATTCTTAAAATTGAGAATATTGATCTTATAATCCAATATAAATTATATGCTGAATTGCACGTCTAATAATCCTCCTTGGGTCGCGAGTGCGATCTTGTTTATATCTATCGATACTTTTTTTTAATTCTATTTAGTTTGTTATCGTGCGGAATTCGATTAAATCTCTATTGGTAAACAGAATTTTTGGACACGTTACTTGTTATCTTTGCTTTTACAGTTTTTTCCTTACCAGCTCTTAAAAGCTCCAAATTTTATCAAGACTTTTAATTTCAAAAAATAAAAAAAGGAAAAATGGGAAAAAAAATGTATAGTGTTTTTTTTATTATCCAATCTCATCTTTATCTTGATATTATATTTATTTAATATTTGCTTTATTTATCGATATGAAGGAAACGACAGTAAGCATTTTGTAACATTAAAGGAACAATAGGCTATATAGTACTTTATTTTGAGATTCTTTATTATAGTTCTTCAAATTGAATAGAATCTGTAGAATTAAGAGAATGCTAAATTTGAAAATTTTATTGATAAAATATCGATTTCTCTCTGCAAAGTTTACATCATATTAGTTGCATAGAATTACAAGTGCTTTTACACACTGAAAGTACGTATAATGAATTGAAGCATTGCTCAATATGTGACGAAAACGATGAAAAATTTTTAAAATTGACATCTCGAGTTGTCACTTGACGCAAATATTTACTTGATACAAAAGTTTTGCAGCTATACGTATCGCACGTGCGTTTATTCCGTTAACGAAAATTTCAAGGAACATTTCTTTAAAACTGATTGTAGAAACTTCAAAGTATACGAATGGGGTTTGCAGAAAGATTTATATATATATGTGTGTGTGTGTGTGTTTTTTGCTAGCAAATAAAACAACATTATATAAGACCTATTTGCAAGAAATATAAAAAGAATCGTATCTACATTTTTAGAGTTTGTCATCCATTTCAGCATTTTCTTAACTGCCCAAATTAATTTGACATGTTTAAAAAATGTTTCATGTACATAAGATGTTGTAATTTTTTACATACATAAGATATTTAAAACTAAAGTATTTAACACATAAAGTGAAATTTTACTTTTCTATTTTTTATTTTCCCAAAACAAGTTTGTAACTTTGAGGTCACATTGGACAGTTACTATCGCTGTCAACATGCTAAAAAAAAAACAGCTGTATTGTGACTTTCATTAGACAAGGCGGGAGCATTCATGTTGGAGATAAATAATGATGAAACTGGATTATGACTTTGGAGTGGGCAGTAGAGAGTTAACGTAGAATCAAAATTTCGACTCGAGATACGTTTCCTTCAAGCAAATTCTTCGAAGCTTCTGAATCGACGCCGGTAAAGAACGGGGAAAGACAAAAATGAAATACAGAAACTTATCGCAAAAGGAGTTGAAGTAACGTCATAATGTTTCCTACCGTTAACACTTTGACTTTACGGCCGCTGTTACGTACGCGCGACTTAATTCCGCCGTCGGTAGTCGCCGGTGGAGAAATACTCGTCGACAATAACAGTCCATAGTTGCAATATCATGAGCGCTACACAAGGACAGAGATTTCCGGATTTATAAACAAGGAGATTGTTTGCCCCCCTCTCTTTAGACACGTTCCAAAGCGACCTCTGGACAATCTGCCGGCGATTTTTCGCGACATGTGCGGCCGTCGAAGTATTCAAAGCCGCCGTCGACGCGCAGTCGACGCCTCGGCCCACAATGTATCCTAAGCCGCGCGCAGTGACGCGACGTGAATCCACGCGGTGTCATCGCCGCATATAAGCTCACGCATTCGACCGTGTCTCGTTTCTTGCGGCGTTGCTCGTAACACGCGGCTAGCAACACGCCTACCGGCGAGCGCGCGGTTCTTGCCCAAAGCCCGGAGTATCGTATTGTCGACTCAGCCGCCGTCACTTATCGCACCGCCGGCACGGCTTACGATTTATATCATCGCGAGAGGAAGACGTCCGGCCGCGAGAGAACCGCCACCGTCGCCACGCAGTGAATAAATCTCGAATGTGAACGGGCGTGTTTGTCAAACGACTCGATGTCACGACGCGCCCGGCTGATCGGCGATCAGGAAAAATATGCGCGCCTTTGTAAGTGAAAAGATATCTCGTGCGCCGGAGATTAATCCCGCAGCCAGCGATAAGATTATAATAATTGCCGTGAGTTATACATTGTGAAGAAGTCGAGGGAAAGTCTATGGCAGACCAACTTATGGTCAACCTGTGTATTACTTTTTCGCGGAGAAAGAAGACGAATTGACGTGACAATGGCTGCGTAATATACATATGCGCGCATTTATCTACGGCTGATGTTACGTATACTGTAAATGTGCGAGTGTATGCGTATTACGGAACGCAGCCAATGACATTGATGCACGTTTCTATTGCTTCACCAGAGTTTAAATCTTTGAATAGAGTTCAAATTAAGATTCAGTCGACGTTGGTAGAAATTCAATATAAATGTATTTTGGTTGATGGATATAGGACTTTTGATTTTCATGAACCAAATTGGATTCTTAAGAACCAGAAATTTTGATTTTCTTCAACTAAAACGCATTTAGTTACGTGATTCGTACATTAAGACTGTTTAGTTCCTACAAAAAGTCCTTGTCAAAAGTCTGGAAATTAGAAATACGTTAATGTTTCCATTTACCGTATAAAAATTTACCGCATGGTATACATACGTACGATATAGTTAAAAAACAAGTTTTTACTTTAACATATTTTTCTAGTCTATTCACTCATTTCATATTATTTCTAGTTTTTAAGCTGTTATCTCTGAACCACAACTTCTCATACATCATTTTGAGTGTTTAAAATACGTGTATACAAAAATCTCGATTTTTGTCATTAATTTTTAATTATCTTTTCCTTTGCTAAAGATAGCATCATAAATTTTCACAATAGCGTGGATAAAAATACTCCTAAGTAGCAGAACAGCGTCAAATGACGCTTTAATGACGTCTGCAACGTCAATCATACGTCAATCATACGTCATTTGTCTTCATTACGTTTGCTGGTTTTACACCTAAAAGTGCAGTAACTTTAAATCCAGGTTCTGAATCAATGTCAAATTGTTTGTGTCACTCTTAGATGCAATCTAGTTTAATCTGCAATTTATTCAAAATTTGTTCATTATCTTATAAGAAGTATGGATGATACATCCTTTATTCAGTCTTATTTTTCCGTGTTGCGCTGCTTGCTAGATGATTCTTAGACTGTTGACTACAGTACATAGCGATTCAATGATTTCGCGCTGATGTAGTCGGTGCTATAAAAATCACCTGACGGACTACAAAAAATACTATGGCGTGTCGCGGGTTGACTAAGTTCGATTTATAAATATCATCGATGACCTGCGAGATATCATGTAGACTTTTTTTGGATACTTGGACGCGTTTTCTCTCGAACAGAGATACGGTCTTTCTCTCGGTCTTTCTCCTTTTCTCTCATCTGAATCCGATATCTCCGTCTCAACTGATAACCGATAACCATATATATATTTAGGACATATTTGAAGACGTTCCTGTCGGACTCGACAACACTTCGATAAGAGAACCCAGAAGCGTTTTCTCTCTCTCTCTCTCTCTCTCTCTCTCTCTCTCTCTCTCTACAAATAAAAAAAATACAAATATAAATGTACAAATGATAATTAGAAGCGCTACGTTTAAACCGAAAATAACATGAAAGAAAGAACTCGTTTAAGCGCGGTTGGTCGAAAAGATCGTGTTGTCTCGTTCACGACGAAAACTCGAAGCTACAACTAGACATTAAAAAGCGGATAAAAGTTTATCGTTGCGCTGTCGCGATAAATTCGATCATAGCGATAAAGCTAAAACGCGTCAAGTCGTGTCGCGTCGCGGAGGCAGCGCGACGTCGTTAACACACATACACATAGTGTCGTAAGAGAACATTGCCGTGCGAGAAAGAAACTGTTAATGGACTCGGGACAAATATGGGAAACTGTCCATTAGCCGGCACTTATGACGCCAGCTAGATTTTATTATTCTCGCGTTTTATCAACTATTGATAAGGATTTGTTAATTAATCAGTTTATTTTTATCAGTTATTGTTTATTATTTATTTATTTTCTTTAAATTTTCACACACTTTAATATTTAATCAAATCCGTGCAAACATGTATTAATTATTTATCTATTGTTTATTGTTTATTTATTCCCTTTTAAATTTTCATAAATCTTAATATTTTGATTAAATCTGTGCAAGTGTAAATTAAACTAAACTAACCTTTATTTGTTATATTAGTTCATTCAAACAAAAATTCAAGTTGAACGAACAAACGTTCGTTAATTTAAATTAAATTTAAAGAAACTTTTTCCTTTGTTTACACTAAGAAAAATATTTAAAAACTAATAAGTATTTATTAGATGGATGCCATTAACATGTTTACTTCAATCAAAATTCTCTTCATTTAAATCGAGTATCGCTTATTTAAACCGAATAAATAAAATAAGTAAACCTAATACGAATAAATAACTCAAAGATAAACCTATAAAATATTTGTTAATTTTTAGATATTTTTTCTCAGTGTACCTGTCTGAAATGCAGTGCGTCGCGTCGTTCAACGTAACCACAAGAGCGCGTGAAAATATTTCGGAGCGCGCGGAGAGTTAAAGAGAGTCGCGACACGAACGACCATTTGTATCTGCGAGCCGGTTGCATGATTATGGAAGAATTTCCGCGCGCTCGCGATCCACGTGTGCGTGTGTGTGTGTGTGTGTGATATGTGTGCGTGCGTGCGTGCTTGCGCGCGTGCGTGCATGTGTACGCGTTCCAAACCGCATCGGCGATAAATTCTCTCTCTCGATGCGCCGCTCGGAAAGAGGGTTGCATCTACTCGCGCGCTCCCCGGCTTCCTGGTGCTAATTTAATACTTTGTAGCTCGAGCAGCACGAGAGATACGAGGTATTCCCCGCGAGTTTACCACGTATCCGCTCTTACCTGCGGGTTAACCCGAACGTCCAGGGTTAATTATACCGCCCCCGGCGGGGGCGCGCGCGGGGAGGACTGGGAGATGGGATAGGTGGTGGATAGGATGGGAGAGAGGGGTAAATATTTCATATCCCGTGCCAGGGGAATCTTCGTTCCGCACACGAGCCGCACCCATGGGAGCTCGTCGACGGCCACGGGGGCCTCCGGACCTCCGCAGCCGCGTTGCCACCGCCGTGGTGGCTCCTCCAACCTGTGCTCCTCTGGCGGTGTGAACGTTGCTTTAAACTCTCCAGGCGAAGGGGCCGACGTGATTCACGATCGTCGGCGATGATTCACGGTCCCGCGACGTTTCCTTGTTCGACGCGCAGAAACGCAACGCGTGAGAGAACGTCGTCGCGCCGCGCTCTCTTGTTTTCCACCGAAATGTCGTGCCAGCGACTGAGCTATTTTTTAGCGCAGCGTGTGTTCGTCAATGCGTGCCACTGAGCGATCTATCGGTGAAGGCGAGCGTTCCTCGGACCTCTTGCCTAGCGATCGTTGCTCCTGCATGATTGTGTGCGACTTTAATTATTTTAACGAAAGCAGAATTTAATTATATAGTCTGCCCTGTTCTCCTCTCTCTCCTCTCTCACCTGGTAAATTAATTAATAATATTACTAAAGTAAACATTTTGGTTGTGTGAAATTATTTGCAGCAGTTCCGTCCGCTCTCGTTTACCGCTCGATTGTTTTGTTACTCGAAGGGGCATGAAAAACAGCGCTTTAGCGGCTTGAAATTATTTTCGCTTCGTTGAAAGGGCGGCGAGATCGTTTAAGGACTTTGAAGACTTAGCGGTTACAAGAGAGCCGAAGTGGCTCCGTTTGAGTTTCAAATGAGCACTCTTGTTGCGTTACTCGAAGCGGTCGATGTCTTTTCCGGCTTTCTGGATTTCGCGATTTTCTGCCTTGCACAGTTTCGAGCAGCGCGGAAAGTTCCTCGTGAAATGCCTTATGATAAAACGCTCGATTCGCATTCGTATCATAGTCGTATGGGACCCTTTCACTCTCTCCGTGGCACGCTTCAAAATCATCTTTTCTGAGCTGCGACAAGATAATATATGAGAATTTTTCCTCGCCTATTGCTTTTCTACAGGAAAATATTGTTGTATCAACGGAATTGGTCAACAGCGCTATGTTTGGAATAAGTCTTCTTGATTCAATATATAACTTTCTAGAGATAGACTGCGCATTCGTATGAGTCAGCTGATGTCAAGAGTAAAGATATGCTGAGTAAGGTTCTTCCTGTATCATACTGTCGAAAGAAGTGATGTAGGGAAAACAAAAGAAAACGAAAGAGAAAGAGGGTGAAAGAAAAAGAGGATGCATTGACCATGTGATCGCTTTTTTTCCTTCGTTTTCCTCACCAATTAGACAATTATATATAAATAATATAGACAAAAGTATCTTACTTGCTATTGTCCTTTCTTACTAATGTTGACTTCAGCCCTTTAATTCCCTGAGAATGTGCAGTCCATCTCTACAAGTCTATAATTCTATTGTTATGTTATTGAAAATACATTATGAATTGTTTTAATAACAATT